ATAGTTTTTATACTGTACAGACCGTATATTCTATTGCCCTTTACCAACCCTACCCCTAAACCTACCCCTCAAAGGAAACTTTCTGCTATTTCAGATTTTCAATACACTCCATTCTGTGTGATTTATAAGCGCTTTGAAAAGTGGGGACATGGGGTAATGTCCTGAAAAGTCACCTTCTCCTTGTAATCCCTATGTCATACCTTTGTCATTATACAAATTTATGTCCTCATTTGTCACAAAAACGCATACACACACACACAAGCCACAGATCACTGAAATAAAGCATTGCTCACATAATTTATCCATCTTAATATGCATAAATTTAACAAAAGCTTAAATTAAAGCCTAATTTGGAAAAAGCCTATTTCAGGTAGTTTCCATATGTCTACGCTGTAAGCCAATAAAAAAATTATTCTACATTTTAGAAAAAAAAACACTAAACATACAGACATCCAGCTTGTCCAGAAAATGTTAATGTCATATTCCTTTTGGCAATTGTAGCACATCCCCTAAAGGTATGCTTGTACAGTCTTAAATATGGTTAACATTTTCTGTTCCCATGTTGAATTGCATTCATAGTGCTGGTGATTTTAATCCTAACAGGATTATCAGGAGGATCAATGTTAATTTAATTGAAGTCTGCTCTTCAGTGTTCAGAGATCCGCTGTGACCCATTTCCTTTGGGGTGGAACTCCCCAGTAACCGGCACCCATCCCCACTGTCTTTGACGCTGTTTAACTGTCTGTAATTCACACGCTGACGCTAACGTGGCGGTGGGAGGCTGCCCGTCTCTTGATGCGGGCGCGACGAGGTCGTTTGTGATCAGACTGGCAGTGGCACAGGGGACCCAGGAGGAGCCACAGATACAGAACCACACACGCCCAGCAGGAGGACAGCTTGACCCAGAATGTGGAGTAACTCCCATGGGTGAAGGTGGTCTCCAGCACAGCAGTCTCATAACTGGAGGAGACAGAACAGTACTATCAAAATTGTGATTTGAGCCCTCTTTTCAAGTACATTTGTGTGTGTGCTACACGTTTGGCAACACAATTGCAGAAATATTCTCCAGATATTAGCCAAATCTAAAAAAAAGCCCTTCTTTTAGAGATGTTATCAAAATACAAAGAAATAAAAGAGAAAATATTCAGCTCAATATTTCTCAACACATCTATTATACACACACTCACACACACACACACACACACACACACACACACACACACACTCAGGTTTACTTTTGTGAAAAGTGGGGACATCCCATAGGCGTAATGGTTTTTATACTGTACAGACCGTATATTCTATTGCCCTTTACCAACCCTACCCCTAAACCTACCCCTCACAGGAAACTTTCTGCTATTTCAGATTTTCAATACACTAAAAAGTGACTAAAAAAAAAGTGGGGACATGGGGTAATGTCCTGAAAAGTCACCTTCTCCTTGTAATACCTATGTCATACCTTTGTCATTATACAAATTTATGTCCTCATTTGTCACAAAAACGCATACACACACACACACACACACACACACACACGCACACCTCCTTCAGACAGCTGTCTCAACACGGTTTCACAGCTGTCTCAACACTCACTCACAGCTTTTCAAATGGGTGCTGGCACTGCTAACGGCTCAAACTTGCTGCTCAACATATGAAGCAAACCTCAACACAAAAAGCTGTAAAAAGAGTTGACAGAGAGCTGGGCAGAACCTGAGCGATGCCTGGTGTGATGTCTATTATTTCAGACACATCAAACGAGGTGATCAAAGAGCCTCTGTTTTGGACATCTCTATTGGAAGTGGCGGGTGCAAGGCCAGGTTGTTGCTGTGAGCGGGACTCGCCCTGACTGTGTATGGAGATAAAGCAGAACTGTATTAAAGCAACTCGCCCGTCGCACCCCTCCACAGAGACCACCGTCACAGGATGCCGCTCATGGTTGCTGGAGCAGGTATTTTTGGTTTCGCAGTCATCATGACCGCAGGCATCTTGGTGGTGTGTATTCAACAGATGGTTGACGGAGGTTATGCTAATGGGGCATATGCTGATTTGCCTTTCAGGCACTGTTGTTGACTGCAGCGATTTAGAATAACACAAGCGAGAAGCCGCTTATGTCTGTAAATCAAATTCAAGCAGCTTGGAAAACTTGGATTTTGTAATTAAAAACTTGTGTGGAAAGCCACGACCGCAAATGAACCGTGATGTGATGCATGACGTCATGTCAACATGGTGGCACCCATGCAGATGATTTAGTTTTAAGCAAATAAAATCGTTTCGTAGTGTTTTAAAATGAGCTTTTCTGTTGATTATTCACTAAATGTATAGCATAAACTGACATGGAGAGTTATAGAACATTATAGAACTGTATTTTTTTTCTCTCTCATCTGGCAGGCACTTTCATCCAAAGCAACTTAAATGTATTTAATATGTTTATTGTATTTATGTATCTTTTATGTACTGTATCAAAACCAGTCATAATTTAGATATAAATGGTGATATTCTACCCTGCTTTTAGCCCTGCAAAAAAACTGGATGAAATAAATAAACAAACAGTAATTAATTTAAACATTTACTGCCATCATACAGTAAAATAAAATAAAAAAAATAATAAAAAAATATAAAAATTAACAATATTGATATGGAATGGGTATTGATTGTAGTTCTTAAATTTGTCTTCTCCATTCTCAAATATTTTGATTGAACTTTAACAAAACATATTCATTAGTCACATACTAATTTCTATACATAAAATTAGACAAAAGATTCCGACAAAATTAACAGCTGGATTTCCAACTTAAGTCATATTTAGAGATTTTATTATGGTAGCATAGTTATTTATTATTGTGATACTTGCAAAGCCACTGAATTATTATTTCGAGAGTGCAGCAGTAGAACCACATTTGAAATTGGCCTAAATCAGATGCCAAAATTCTGATCTGTGCCAGATGTCTGTGAAAAAAATCTGAAATGTTTATGTAAATGTGTCCCTAGAGTCTGCATTATTCATGCAGCAAATTCCACAATCCACTTTACTGCCATGCCACTCCCACTCCACTGAGGTGGAAAACAAGCACAATCTGCTCGGAAAACTCACATTCCATACCCATCAAACATCTGCCAATTAGAGAGGGGGAAGCGTTTAAAGAGGTTTTCAGGGATGTCTCAGAGCCAAGTCAAAGCACACTAGATTGAGCTCATCATCCTTTTTATGGTGTCAGTCACAAGTCGTTGTGATGTTACTGTTTCATGTCGAGCCTAAAACCTTTCACCCTGTTCGGACTTATCATCACATTCTTGCATAAACATGACAGAACAAATGGGACCTTGGAAGAAGAGGTGAAAAAACAAGGAGCTAGCCGTCTTTATCTCTGAGGAAAACTGAGTGTGAACATGCAAGTGAAGGACGAGAGATAATAAAGATAAATGCACATGTCACCAGCTTGTTAATCAGTGATAGAAGCTCATCTCCACTCGGGTCAACAAAGGCATCACCTCATAAACTAATGAGTGCAACCGCTGTGACAGGGTCATCGCGCCCTGCGGTTATCATAACAGAAAAGGGATGCTGGGGTCAAACGTCCACAGCAGGAAGGGGTTAAACATCAAGAAAGAGTGACGCACCCAAGTCCAGGATACAATAAACCTTTAGGAAGAATGTACACTAGAAATGTAAGGAATTTTAACAGAAAAAGAATGTAAAAGTGCTAGCTTAAACCCTGCTGTTGCTTTAACATACAGTATATGATAAAATAAAAAAAATAATAAAAACTTACATATAAATGTATTGCTAAAATTTTTCAAATAATTGTTTGTTTTATTTTATTCTTACAAATCAGTGCTAGCTTAAACCCTGCTGTTGCTTTAACATACAGTATATGATAAAATAAAAAAAAAATAAAAACTTACATATAAATGTATTGCTAAAATTTTTCAAATAATTGTTTGTTTTATTTTATTCTTACAAATCTATTTTATTTTGATACCTTTTTTTGGTAAAGTAAAGAGTATAAACACCAAATTTAATTTACACCAAAAGAATATAAAATTTAAATAGTTATGCATAGTTTGTTTTTGTGAGCATTTATGCACATCATAGGATGTTGCATTTTATGTTGTTTAGTTCAAGTTCATTGCACTATTTTAGTGTTGTGTGTCATTTTTAGTGTGTGTCCTGGAGAATTCTGTTTTTGAACAATTAGTCTGTAAAAATCTTGCTTTAAATTTAACATCCTAAAGTAAACGTACATCTCTAAAAGTAATGATAACTTTGAGTTCGACAAATGAATCAGACCTTGATTCATTAAAGGGATAGTTCACCCAAAAATTCTGTCATTAATTACTCACCCTTAAGGCTTGTGCACACCGGGACGAATATCGCATGCGATTATCGCCAACGTTTAACGCCTCGTGACTAAAACAAGGGCACCAATGTGAGTGTGCACACCGGCGTGCAAAACGGCAGGCGTAAAAGCGTCATTTTTAAAAAAACGCCTCAGGCTCGTTTTTTTAGTTTGACGCGCCACGTTAAAAACTGGCTGACCAATGAGACTGGCGCTTTTGTTCACGTGCCTGGAGATGCTGAAGTTACAGTAAAACACGACTTGGTGGCGCTCAAGCACAAAACGGTCTTGCCGAGCACACATTGATACCTAACGACAAAAAGGAAGTAAGTAGACCAAGAAGATGCATCGAGGCAAGATGAATGTAGAGCTGCTGGTCTCATTGGTGTCTGAACACAAAGAGCTTTATGACAAACGTGACAGCAACTACAAAAATCTCGATAAGAGGGAGTTGTTATGGAGAGGAATTGCAGATCAAATAAGATTCGTATTTTTCATTAAGTGCCATCTAATGTCAGGGAGTGAATTTGCATGTTCACTTGGCTCATCGCCAGTTAAAATCGCTCGGGTATGAACACAAAAAACGCGTCGAAAAACGCTGGCGATAAGCGCGCGATAATCGTCCCGGTGTGCACGAGGCTTTATGTCGTTCCAAACCCGTAAGACCTTCGGAACACAAATGAAGATATTTTTGATGAAATCCGAGAGCTTTCTGACCCTCCATAGACAGCAAGGGTCCTACCACAGTCAAGGTACAGAAACGGCATGAGGGTGAATCATTTTCATTTTTGGGTGAACTATCCCTTTAACAGCTCTGGCAGGTTCGTGACTTCATTTAGTGAAGGATTCATAAGATTCATTTAAACCTGTAACTTGTGATTCTTTTGAGTGGTTCATGAAAAGAATCAGTTGTACGTGAATTGGTCCAGAATACTTGTTTTTCAGGCAAGTTCACAAGAACAATTCAAATAATACATTTTTTCTCAGCTTGGTGGTCATATATGATTTATTTGGCGATGAAGCACCGTCTTTGAAAAGTCATGCATGCATGAAACTTTTTTTGTTTTGAATACACTAATCTCCATGTAAAGAATTATTTCTTAAAGGGATGGTTCACCAAAAAAAAAAGAAGTTAATTCTGTCAACATTTACTCATCCTCATGTCATTCTAAAACATTATGACTTACTTTCTTTTGTGTAACATACAAAATATACAGTATATTTTGAAGAATGCCTCAGTATTTTTGGCTATACAATTGAGGTCAATGGTCACCCAAACTGTTTGGTAGTGATTAACATGTAAATCTTTGGTGAAGCTTTGAAATATCCAATGACAAATGTCAAGTATCCAATTTCACCTCTATTTCCCCACATCCCACACCCAACACATGACCTAAGTCTCTCAAATACACAGTGTGGGAGACATCATTGTCCCTGACAATATAGCCACATTTTCAGCTCTATGATGTCTAAATGACTGAAATTTAATGACTAAAATGTTCTCCACAGCAGGCACACTACTGTTTTATGGCATATGAGCTAGCAGGTGCTTTATACCTCAGTCTGGATTGTTCCAGGTGCTATTCGTGTTCCCCAAAAGAAATGATTTCCTGTCAGGATCCAAAGAATAAATTGATGGAGGGTGCGAACCCTGTCACCTCATTTCATCCCTTGTTGCTGGAAAAGCAATTCAAGGTCTTGTTGAAAACATAACAAGAATGAAAGAAACTCGAAACTGTTCTAGGCTTGAGCAAGAGCCAGAAATGATTAACAGAGAATGAAAAAAGAGGACTGAAAATCATGGGGAGGGAAAGAAATATGGTGACATGACACAATTATTAATACTCAAACATCAAAGCATCATGTTAAGTCAGAGCACATGTAATAACTGCTAGACCAAGACTACGTACTTTAATTTACTGAAATATATACAATTTATAAAAAAACAAAAACAAACAAAAAAATCTTTCTGAGTGAAAAACAATATCAATGCCAAAAAATACAGGCCCATACTTCATTGTATCTCTCAGGATTGATTGGATCTTGAATCTTGGGTGTTACATGCCAGAATAGACTGGAGGAGAAGGGCAAAAAAATAAGTAGTATAGGTAGCAAGTTCTGCACCACTTTTCATCAGAATCTTTAGTGCCATAGCAAAAGAAATCATATTTAATCTAAATTATAAATGTGAATTTGCAGTCTGCATTAAATGTGATGCAAAAATAAGTGAAATCGTGATGAGAAATGTATTTCTGTTGAGTCAACATTTTTAGTGAAGCAACAACATACAGTGCAACTAGTCTGATTCCCAAACAAATGAGAATGAGTACTTTTTTACACACATTACAAAAACATACAATGCAATCAGTGCATTCATATTCACAATCAAATTAGGTTTATGAGCCAATTCGGGTTAGTACTGCAAAAACATTCAATGTGATTAGTATCATCTGATTTCCAAACAAATGGCTCTTATGAGTCAGTTCTTTTAAGTGAATCAAAAACATACAATGCATGCTGTGAATTATGATTCACAAACAAATGACTCTTATGAACTGCTTCTTTTTAGTGCAACCAAAATATGCAGCATAACTGGT